GCTCCGTCTTCGGTGCGCCCACCGCCTGGGCCTCCGCGTGCCTGGCCTCCGCGTCCATCACCCGCGCGGAGAGCTGGGCGTCCCTGCCCTCCGCCGCCAAGGCCGCCGCGGCCTCCTCCCTGGCCTTCATCGCCGCCGCCTGCAGGGGCAGGGGGGGGGATGAGGGCCAACGAGAGGGGAGGAGGAGGAGGACGACGACGACGACGAGTGCAAACCCAGGACTCATCAACGGTGTTGGAAGAACCCCCCCATCAAAGCTCCCTCTTCACAGGCCCCTACAAAGGTTCATTTGCACTGTGAGGACTGCCTCGTTGGGAGACAACCGCTTGAAGACCTTGGAACATGTCAAAACACCATTCTCGGGACACCAACGCCACGGATCAACCTGACTGCTGCGTCTTGACGATCCGCGAATCAACGTACATGTTGCACCCTCACAATCCCGCGCCCTTCCAAAACACAAATTCTGGTACGCTGACGATGGGAATTGTTTGCAAACTTTGAAACGAATGTGCGTAACGCTATGGCGAGAACCACACTTCGAAAACCACTTGCCCTCAACCCGCGAACCCTCACAAATTTGAAAACAAACGTGCGCGGCGCTCAAGCGATAACCACAATTTGAAAACGGAACGCCGTCAATCCGCGAAACCCTTGCAAGGTTTTCAAACACATATGGGCAGCGTTAAGGCGAGAGCCACATGTTGGAGGCAGCCTGTACTCCATCTGTGAAACAGTTGCGATCTTTTGGCTTCAAGGTCATTCCAACAGTGGTGAGGAGGTTTCAAGCGCAACGCCCAGCCCGTTCTTTTGAAATGCCTCGGGGTGCGACAGGGAGGAGTTACTTAAAGGAAATAGAATAGAAAGATGGAGGTGAGGAGGAGGGACAAGGGACGGACGAAGGATGTATGGCTTGAGAGAGGACGCGAGGAGGGAGGAGGAACCCAGAAGGCGCCAGAGGTAAGCGAGAGTGCCTGCTCAGACGCCCCCGGGGCCGAAATATGGATAACATACCATAATGGGGAGACGGGTTCGAAGAGCAATCTCCACCCTCTGGCCAGCGCCTCTGGTCCTTGCCAAAACCCACTGCTCGCGGGCAGGCCGCTACCAAGATGTGGTTCGATGAGCAAACGAGCTCGCCGCACATGCGTCCAGCATCGGCCGACGTCCTGGTGTAGTTGTCCTCGTGGATACATAGGACACCCGACGTGGATGTCGGCAGCGGCGTCGCCATCATAGAACTTGTCCTGAATGCCCCCAACATGGCCCCGCCTGGAGGCGTCGTCACCTACGCTGCAGAACCTTGCGTGCCGCACGTGGGGTTTCCCGAACATGGCTGCCGCGCCTCCTGTTTGAACGTGGCAATGACCCACGACACCGTGGCCTCAGTCTCCTTGAAAATCATGGTCGTGGCCACGCCGCGGCCAGGAACGTTCGTGCGCCTCGGCTATCAACGCGGCGCACGCCATAAACGATAAAACCGGCGCCGAAATGGAACAATCCTGTTGGAACAAACTTTGGCCAGGCGGCCAATATGCGGGACACCTGGAATTCACAAAGCCGCGATCCTGCTTGGAAATGGTTGCGCTGCTGCGCGATAGTGATTGTATCATGGCGGGGAGCGGTCATTCTTACCCGCGGGGGGGTAACGGTAAACGTTTGGGCGGCGGGGGTGCCTTGCGACGCGCGCGAACACCAACGCGCGAGGGGGGGTCCAGCCCAACCCCCCCCCTCCCACGTACGACCGTGACCGTTACCCGGGCCATCGCTCAGACATCCATTCCCTGTGTTTGTTTTGGTATCGTGCGCGGTTTTGTCGCCAAGTAAGCAAGGATGCTCCAAGATTGTCCTCGCAGAAAGAAAAAATGCACACGTCTGAGCGATGCCGAGTGCCCGGGGGGGTGGGGCGGGGTCAAGTTAGCCACCTCGAGCGAGCCAGAGGGCTCCGTCCACTCCCACCCGCCCTCCCGCAACATACGAAGCAAGTGCGTCGCGTCCGGCGTCTGTCGATCATCTTATATCCTGGGCGGCTAGACGTTCAGAGCGCGACACGAACTGCGTCCTATTCTCGTGCCGCGTAGCGACCAACGTCGACGAGAAACAAAACCGCGCGCGATGTACGCCGCGCCCCGCTCCGGCATCTCATGTTGCATCGTCGGCGACAACATGTCCAGCGCGCGAAGTGCGCCGCGTCTCATTCCAGCCACGCGTGTTGTACCGCCAATCGTTTCGCCCCTGCCGCGCATGGAGGACGGGGAGGAGGAAAAGGAGGAGGAGGAGGTGGAGGAGGAAGAGGAGGAAGGGAGGGAGAGAGGGAGGGAGGCACTGAGGAGGAAGAAGAGACTGCCTCTTGGGAATTCGCGGGGCGTCCCATTCCCGCTGCGCGATTCGCAGCGCCGACGAGGAGAAAGTACATGTTGGCAAGAAAAACGTCGACGTTGCGGGGTTTGTTGACAGGTAGGACGGGGGGTCCCGCGTAGGGTTGGCCAGGCGTCCGGGCGACATGTCTGCCGCGTCCCATTCCTGCTACACTTTTCGCAGCGTCGACGACAAGAAAGTCAATGTTGACGAGAAAAGCGTTGACTCTGCATTGTTTTTTGATGGGTACGACGCGACCACCCGCTTAGGGTTACCCCAGCGATGTTCATTCCGACGCATTCCTGCTACACGAATCGCAACTCGACGACATGTTGGCGAGAACAAATTGAGTTTGTGTTGTTTTTTGGCCGATAGGACGGAAGGGTTGCTATCGGCCGGCTAAGTGGGGATGTGGGGGTGCTTTATCACAAGAACTAAAGGTGGGGTTTTGGCTGGCCCAGGTCACGACCGTTACGCGCCAAAGGATTCCACAAAACACAAGATCCCCGCCGGCAAGACGAGTCCAGATACAGAAGGGGGCCAGTCCACAAGAAATCCTCCACACGATTCCAAGCCCACCACAAGCAACCCCCCACAAGCAACCCTCCACAGGCAACCCTCCACAAGAATTCAGCCCCGTCGTCGGGAAACGGCAGCTCCGAAGGAAGGGACTGCCCATGGGGCGGGGCCCTGTCGAGGCCGCCGCCGCTTCCGCGCACTTCGTCGCTTGGCTGAGGTCGGGCATGTCTTCCTGCAGGCGGACATTGGACGACACATCGGTAGTAGTCAAAACAGTAGTCAAACATTGCCAAGAGATCGTCCCCATACTGTGGTGGAATACTTCTCCATCTTTCTCCTGCAGGGGGACACGCCCGACTTAGCGCTGGGCCCGCGGACGCCAACAACGCGGGCGCACTTCGAACACTCGGCGGCGCGTGTGCCCTCCTCTCGACTGCCCCGTGCCTCCTCGGCGGAACGCCCCCGCCACCCTCGCCGCGACGGCGCGCTCGGGCAATCGTAAGCAAACCCGGGACTTGCCGGCGCTCGGACGTCCATTCCCCGCGCAGTTCTCGACTTCGCGCGTGCTTTTTTGTTCGCAAGGTGCTCCAAGATGTTCCTCGATGGCCCTCGCCCCCCCCACCCACACACACACACACACACACACACACACACACACACGCACACACACACACGCACACACACACAAGAAAAACGTACACGTCCGAGCGATGCCAAGGGGCTGTAAAGAACAACCGCCCCCGACCCCGCAACCAGTGAAATCTTGCCCTGGGAACTTGAATCAGCCCAAGCTGAGCAAAGGCCGGCCGGGCATGTCCTCCTGCAAGCGGCTTTGGGAAAACAATGCAAAACCGTATTCAAAAAATTGAGTCTAACATTTTTTGTTTGTTCCCCCCTAACGCAACACCGCAAAGCTGCACAACAACGTGAAACGGAACAGCGAAAGGAAGCCGTTAACCCGCACGTGCCCGCGTGCAGAGTGTCCCCGAGACTTGTAAACCAACTAGCACAAAACAATACTAACACAACAAAGCACAAGAAGTTGTGACCAGACTATGTTTTACGATTGTTGAATGTCCCCCCTGTAGAGGGACATGCCCGACTTGAGCAATGACCGACCGTCCCAGCATTTCTATAGTCCAACCACGAAATGTTCTTAGAACCCAACAACTGTTCCAATAACAGGAGCAATGTTCTTAGAACGAAACCCCGATGTGTTAAACCAAGGCAGGCTCAACCAGAAATGTTCTAAGAACATTTCGTGGGAGCCACCAAGGATTCTGAGGACATTTTATGGTGGGGCTATCGGCGAGCCAGGACGCTTCGCCACTGCTTGAGTTCTACGATTCTTGAATGTCCCTCCTGTAGAGGGACGTGCCCGACTCGAGGCCGAGCACGGCAGCCGGCCGCGCCGAGGCCCTTGGCGGGCCCAGCCCTCCGCCGAGGCCCCGCGGCCCCTCCCGACGTGCCGGAAAAGGCGGGCAAGAGGCACACGAGATAGGCCAAGGTTGAGCAGGGACCGACCGTCCCGGCATTCCTACAGTCCTACCACGAAATGTTCTTAGAACCCGAAAATGTTCTTGGAACCCCCAAAACATGCTCTTAGAACCCCAAAATGTTCTAAGAGATGGGCCAAGGCTTGGTGGGCCCTGGAAACGACAAGGCCGCTTTTTTCCCAACCATCCTGTGGTGTTGGGTCCTCGTTTTGAAGAGACGTCGCCCCGCGTTCCTTCCTTCCTTCCCGCTGCCCCCTCCCTCCTCCCATCTTCATCATCATCGTCATCATCCCCATCATCGTCATCGTCATCATCATCTGTCGTCATCATCATTATCACCACCCATGTCGGCACACCCCTCACACGTTTCGTGACCCCATAGGGAGCTCCACCGAAGGTCCCAGTGCGTGTGCCCGCATGCGTCCCGCACACTCATTTCGGCACACCCCTCACACGCTTCGTGGCCCCATAGGGAGCTCCACCGAAGGTCCCAGTGGGTGTGCCCGCATGCGTCCCGCACACCCATTTCGGCACACCCTCACACGTTTCGTGGCCCCATAGGGAGCTCCACCGAAGGTCCCAGTGGGTGTGCCCGCATGCGTCCCGCACACCCATTTCGGCACACCCCTCACACGTTTCGTGGCCCCATAGGGAGCTCCACCGAAGGCCCCAGTGGGTGTGCCCGCATGCGTCCCGCACACCCATTTCGGCACACCCCTCACACGTTTCGTGGCCCCACAGGGAGCTCCACCGAAGGCCCCAGTGCTGCCGTCCGCATGCGTCCCGCACACCCATTTCGGCACACCCCTCACACGTTTCGTGGCCCCATAGGGAGCTCCACCGAAGGTCCCAGTGGGTGTGCCCGCATGCGTCCCGCACACCCATTTCGGCACACCCCTCACACGTTTCGTGGCCCCATAGGGAGCTCCACCGAAGGTCCCAGTGGGTGTGCCCGCATGCGTCCCGCACACCCATTTTGGCACACCCTTCACACGTTTCGTGGCCCCATAGGGAGCTCCACCGAAGGTCCCAGTGGGTGTGCCCGCATGCGTCCCGCACACCCATTTCGGCACACCCCTCACACGTTTCGTGGCCCCATAGGGAGCTCCACCGAAGGCCCCAGTCCATGCGTCGCGGCGCACGTCCCGCATGCGTCCCGCACACCCATTTCGGCACACCCCTCACACGTTTCGTGGCCCCATAGGGAGCTCCACCGAAGGTCCCAGTGGGTGTGCCCGCATGCGTCCCGCACACCCATTTCGGCACACCCCTCACACGTTTCGTGGCCCCATAGGGGCTCCACCGAAGGTCCCAGTGGGTGTGCCCGCATGCGTCCCGCACACACATGTCGTCCCACCCCTCACACGTTTCGTGGCCCCATAGGGAGCTCCACCGAAGGTCTCAGTGGGTGTGCCCGCATGCGTCCCGCACACCCATTCCGGCACATCCCTCACACGTTTCGTGGCCCCATAGGGAGCTCCACCGAAGGTCCCCGTGGCGCAGTCCACATGCGTCTCCTTTGCCCAGTACAGCGTTACGTGGCCCCATATGGAGCCCCACCGCAGGTCCCAGCCAGCCAGCTAGCTCTCTTTGCTCCGCGCAGCGGGCGACCCGCGCGCGTCGCTGGGACTCCTCCGGGGCGACCTGCGCGCGTCGCGGGGGCTCCGTGCTGCGTTCCGCCCAGCGCCTCGCTCGCCCGTCGTCGCTCTGCCCAGCGGCAAGAGCCTTGCCCGCTATCAGCCAGCCAGCTAGCTCTCTTCGCTCCGCGCAGTGGACGACCCGCGCGCGTCGCTGGGACCCCTCCGGGGTGACCTGCGCGCGTCGCGGGGGCTCCGCGCTGCGCTGCTCCCGCAGCCTTGGACTTTTGAGTGCGCGGGCAAAGAGGGAGTAAAGGAAGGGGAGGAAGCGGGCGCGATCCTCGCGGGGGGGCGCGCCGACATTGGCGTCGCGGCGCGCGGGCGATGCCGTCGGGGAGTCCCGGGGAAGCTCCTTGCGGCGGCCACGCCCAGCGTCACGAGTATTCAGAGGCAGTCGTTGTCAAACTATTGGCATTCATACACATTTGCACCACGCTTTGTCATATTCGCATTCATGCACGTAGACTCGCTCGCACGCAGATCATTCACAGTCAGACGCACGCGCGCAGATTCACCCGCGCTCAGTCTCCCTACGTACTCAGATCAATCGTTTTCGTTCACTTTGTGTACCACGCCACTCATGTCGGCACGCCCCTAGCACGGTTCGTTGCCTCATAGGGATCGCCACCGAAAAAATGAATCACTATTGCGGTACTCGCACCTGCATATGGTTGGGTCCCTCGTCAGGCTAATTTACCGGTTCCGTTTTGCCGTTTCTCTGCCGGTTCCGACGCCGCTGTTTTGCCGGTTCCGTCGCCGCTCTCCGCTCCGGTTCCAATCCTAGAGCCGTTTTTGTTGCCGTTTCCAGTCGCCGTTTTTTTGCCCTTCCATTTTCAAGGGGCACTTGTTCGGAAACGGTGAAAAAACGGCCCTGCCGTTTCTGGGGCCCACTAAGGGCCAGGGAGGCCGGCCGCAGGCGGGGTAGTCGACCGAGCGGGAAGCGTTCGACGAAACTTCGGTCCAATACGCCGCGGGCACGCTCTTCAACAGGGAGACGCGTGCCTGCACATGTCCTGGTGGCCTGATGCAGTCAGCATGGCTCGACACATGCCCTCTCTGCACTGGCGACGGGCGCAAGCGCCACGTGTGGGTGTCGGGGTGGCTGCTCCTGCCTCGACTACCCCCGAGTGCCCCTCCAGCATGCTCTGCCGCAATCTATCGCTGCACGGCGCCTCCCAGCGACCGCGGCGACAAGGCGGAGGGGGGGCGAGGACGGGGTGGCGGGCGGTGGGGCCTCTGCCGCCGCGACCTCCCCGCCGAACTGGAAGACGCCCTGAAGATGCCGCTCCACCGCCCTCCTCCCGGCCCCGGTGGTCCTCCCCTCCTCCCCGTGGTCGTCCGCTCTCTCCCTGTCGCCCCCCTCCCCGCCGCCGCCGCCACTGCAGTCGGCGTCGTCGTCATTGTCGTCGTCGTCGACGTCGTCGTCGTCGTGCTCGGCGTCGTCGTCGTCGTCGTTGTCGGCTTCGGCCTCGGCGTCATCTGCGGCGAGGTCGGCGTCGGCGTCGTCAGGAGTCGTCGTAGTCGACGTTGTCGTCGTCGTCGCCATCACCATCCTCGTCGTCGTCGTTTTCGGCGTTGCCGTCTTGATCGTCGGCCTCGGAATCGGCGATGCCGATGTCGACGGCAACGAAACGACGACGACGGCGACGACGCCGACGACGACGACGACGTCGTCGACGACGTCAACGACGACCACGACGCCGCCACCATCGATGATGACGACGACGAAGCCGACGCCTACGCCCACGCTGGCTCAAAGAGGCCCAAAAGAGGGCCTAAGAGGCCCCCAAACTGCCCCCAAGAGGCATCAAAACTGCCTCCAGGAGGCCTCCGAGAGGCCCCCCACAAGATCCCAACGAACATCCAATAGGCTTCATACCCACAACCCAGGCATAGTGGCGGGATGGGCCGAAGGCCAGTACATACCCTGTTCTTGCACATAATTCCTCCCTGTCGCACATCCAAACCTGTCGGTAGGGCGTGCGGGGCGCTTCGCCTGAGACTTCGTCACAACTTCTGATCTTGAAGCCTTGAAGCTTGTAACAAATATAAGGATGGGTAACAGGGTGTCTTCAAAATGAGACGCTGGCCACAGCGCCGCGTACACGCGTTTCAACACCTCGCAAACATTACAAGATGAAACGCACAACGTGTTCAAAATGAGGCTCTCGCAGCAGCGCCGTGTACATTCGTTTGGACACCTCGCCACAGATACAAGGATGGAGGGCGAAACCTCTTAAAAGATGAGGCTCTCGTCTCCGTGCCACGCAGTTCCGTGCTAAAACTTGCAACGGCTACCAAGATAGAGCGCAAAAGGTTGTCAAAGTGGGACTCTTGCCATAGCGCCGCGAACACCCGCCTGTACAACTTGCAACAGCTACAGGGATGGAAGAAAGGTGGTTGTCTAAATGACTCTCGCCATAGCGCCGCGAACATCTGGCATTGAATCGTACATCAAATACCAGGAATAACCATGTATTCTTTTCAAAATGGGGCCCTCGTCCCAACGACATTTCCAAAGATTGGCGACTGTTTCTTTTCAAAACGGAACTCTCGCGTGAGGCGTCCTGTAATTGCAAACCCAGGGCTACTTTTCCAGATGGTGTTCCCGCTTGAGACTTCCTCCATCAATGACCATGACCAGAAGCGCTATAATGTGTGACCTGTCCTCCTCCTCCTCCTCTTCCTCCCCCTCCTGCCCCGTCAGATATAGTACGCAGTATGAGGAGTGCCTGCTTCAACTCGAGTGGAAAGCGGGCTGCAATGGTTTACTGCAAGATACTGCGTACGCATGCCCTCTAGCCCCTGTGCGTACATGCCTCTCGTCATGCTTGCTCCTCATGATTTCCCTTCCTCCTCCTTCTCCTCCACCTCCACCTCTTCCTTCTCCCCCTCCTCCTCCTCCTCCTCCTCCTCCTCCTCCTCGTCCTCGTCCTCGTCCTCCTCCTCCTCTCTGCACACATGATCCTAGTCATGCGTCTCCTGCTGTTATTCCCCTCCCCCTCTACCCGACACCGAAGTTGAACACATAATTGGGGATGTCTTGAACACACAGCGAGGCTAATAGTAACACGCGCCTGCGTACTTGGGGGTAGCGAGTGTGAACGGTGTCATGAGGTCATCTGGCGACCCTTGCTGCCGCATAATGCACCTCCTGATCGTCAGCCAGGAACGCATCTACTTCCAGGGAGACTGGATCACGACAGAGCACTGCAGCATCGCCGGCCATACTGCTGTGGACGCGCATCGCATGATGGATGATGAAATGTTTCAGGGGTGCGACCGAGTTCCTCGCGCGGGTGATGGCACAGCTTAGGATGCAGGCGGCTGGTGCCCGCAACCTCGCGTCGTGTCCCTCTCCCTCCAGCCCGTGCTTCGGGCGGTAAGAGCTCGGACGCGACGCGTGGCCCTGGAAGCTTCGCTCCGCCCCCCCCCGCGCCTCCCCCCCTGGGAGCCCTCTGCCCCTGCTCGTGGACATCCCGCGGGGGCCAGGCACTCCACCCCTTGCGGCTCAGTGGAGGGGACGGACAAAAGGCTCTGCGGTGGGAGGCCGTCCCGTGTGCCTTGCAGCTTGGGCTCCAGTGGCTACCCTGACGAGCGACAGGGCTCCTCTCCTGGAGGCTCCCACATTGCAATTCCAACTCGTAGTAGCGGTCGCTATGGGCTGCACGCCCTCAGCTGCCCTGAGGCAAGTTGTCGTCCGCGCGCGGGAATATACACGACGCGGCTACGATGGCCCGCCGCGCTTTCTACAATGTCGTGGCGGCCTCGATTTCGGCGGCGACTGTTTGGACAATCCATCCCGCGCCATCCACATGATGATACAACTGCTACTAAATGCTTATGCTCGCTCCTGCATCCCCCTCTTCCTCCTCGTCCACCCTTCTTCCTCTCTGCTCCCTCCTCCCTTCCCTCATCTTGCTCGCCCTGATTCTCCCCGTCATCGTCGTCCTCCTGCTCCGCCCTCCCCTCAAGGGGCCCAAGGACACACAAATAAACAAACACAAATAAAAGGATTCCCCTATACTTTCCCATATGTTCTGTTTTGTTTGTCGTCCCGCCCAATTCCCATATTGTCCTCTATTTTCTTGGGGATCGACGATAAATTGTGTCTCTGTGATTGTTCCCCTCCTCATCCTCCTCCTCCTGCCCTGCCCCCCAGCCTTCCTCCTCCAGCCCCTCCACTGAGCGCCGCACGTCGCTGTCGGTCATCGCCTTGCCCGTCTGGCCCAGCGCCCTGCACATGGGGCGAACCACTGGCTCACACCCCAGGGACAGGTCACACTTACTTCCCTTGCCCCCCTCCCAGCAGCCTCTCTCGCTCTCCTCTCCCTCTCCCCCCCTCCCTCCTGTTCGCTGTGCTCCCCCCCCTCCCCCCCGCCTCCCCATACCGCTCCGCTCCCCATCTTCTTCTCCTTCGGATTCGTCGACGTGAGGCCTGAAGTTCTGCCCCCTCCACGTCCTCACGCCCTCCTGCTCCTGAGTTTCCTTCCCCGCCCGTCCCCCCTTTCTCAACAGCGCACGATTCTCCACTGTCAAAAAATCACTAGGTGCCTAGTTGATCCATCCTGGCAGATGGAGGGGACAGAAGGTGAGGGAAGAGGGAGCCAGGGAGAAGAACGGAATGGGGAAAGGAAGGGCGGGGGAAGAAACGTGGAGTACTGTAGAGGGCACCGCAATCGTATCGGACCTCTCAAAGAGCCCCATCCAGCCTGAACTATTGTACAGTAAGGGCTCAAAAGAAGCCTGAACCCTGGGACCCCAAGACATCCATCGACTCCTCGTGTGGGAAGGTCGCGCCTCCCACCGCAAAACCATCGAAGCCCAAGATACACAGGGCACCCTGGAGGCTAGCAGGGTGTTTCTTGGAATGGGTCTACACTGTTAAACCAGGGCTGAACCTAAACGGTGATGTTCGTTGTCGTTTTGTTATCGTCTTCCCTCTTTTGGTCTTCAATCCGCCTGTACCGCAAAACGAAGTAGAAACGAAAACGGCCCACGAAATCGCCAAAACACCGTTTAGGTCAAGCCCTGCTGTAAACCACATGAACATCATCATTCTCCCTCCACCTCCTCTTTGCTTTTGCGGGCGCGCCGCCCTGCCTGCGGTCCTGGCGGGGTCCCTGTGGGTCGTACTAGCGAACAGGGTGGCGGCACCAGGCGCAAGGCCATCGCAAAATTGCAAAACACAGGAAACCACCCTCCTCCCTCCATCTCGTGTGCAGGTGCGTGCGTACCGCGCTGCCTGCAGAAGATGTCGCTTCCAGTACCAGTGCAGCAGAACATTCAAGCTACGAGCCGAGCAGTTGATTGGGCGTTGCTTACTGGGGGGCGGTCCAGAAGGGGGGGGAGAGAAGAGTGCACCTTGCGTGCCCCTTTAAGGCCCCAGGGGCCCGTTCAGGGTCGCTGAATTGCACCCTTCTTCACCCCCCCATTTATGAAGGGTCCCAGGACACACCAAGAAATACACACAAATAACAGGATTCCCGATATTTTCCTATATTTGCCGGGTTTTTGTCTTCCCCCCCCTTCCCATGTTTTCCCATCTTTTCTTAGACATCGACGATTAGTTGTGTCTGTGTTTTTTCCCCCTCCTGAATTCATGGCCCCCGCCTTACGCAACGCCGGAGTTGTCCCCACTTCTGACGCTCCCGGAGAACCAGTGGGGAAGGGGGTGATCAACTGCAGGTTTCAGCATCCACCGCGGGATGATCGTCTGCAGGCGGCTCCGCACGGCCCCTCCGAGCCGACTCGTCATCCCTGAAGGAGCGCATTCTGTGGTCGATTGGAGGGTCCCCCCCGGGTTCGAGGGGGGAGGCGGGCGAGCGTCGTCGTCGTCGTCGCCTCCGGCGTCGGCGTCGTGCTTCGCGTCGTTGTCGGCGTCGACGTCGTCGCCGCCGTCGTCGGAGGCGCCAGCGTCGGCGTCATCGTCGTCGTCGTCGCCGACGTCGGCGTCGCCGTCGTCGGCGTCATGCTCGGCGTCGTGCTCGGCGTCGTCGTCGTCGTCGTCGACGTCGTCGTCGTCGTCGTCGTCGTCGTCGTCGTCGTCGTCGTCGTCGTCGTCGTCATTCGGCGTCGTCTCCGCCGCCGCCGCCGCGCCGTCGCCGTCGCCGCCGCCGCCGTCGCCGTCGCCGTCGTCGTCGTCGGAGGCGCCGTCGTCATCGTCGTCGTTCTCGTTGTCGTTGTTGTATTCGCTGTCGGCGTCGCCGTTGTCGTGTCGTTAACGTCGTCATCGTCATCGTCGTCGTCGACTTCTTCCCCCTCAAGGGGGTTCCGAGGAGGGGACCCCTCCCTGGTTCCGAGGAGGGCCCCCCCCGAGTTTCTGGAGGGGGGTGGGTGGCCATTTCTTCCGAACATGCGCCCGTGAAACGCGCGCGCGCTCTCTCTCTCTCTCTCTCTCTCTTTTTTTCTTCTCTCTCCCTCTCATTATCATCCCACTCTCTCTCTCTCTCTCATTATCGTCCCCCCTCTCTCTATGTATGTGTATATATACACTTATATATATCTACTAGAACCACACACACACACACGCGCGCTAAGCGCGCGCATAGGTTCTAGTCGCAGATGAGCCACGGGTGCCGCTGTAAACCACGCTGTGGTCACAACGACGATTTCCAGCGTTATCGGGCCCGTGCCATCGACGCAAAAAAACGCGTAGGCAGAACGCTCTCGCTCTGCCAGGGCCGCCCTTGAGGGGTGGGAGGGGGAACGCAACTTGTGAAATGATAGGGTGTAGCGATGCCCCGCTCGCTCTGGCGGGGCCTGTCTGGCGTTCTGGCGGGCCATCCCAAGAGAGGAGGGAGGAGCACGAAAGCTGAGGGGTGAGGGGAGGAAGAGGACAGAGGAGGGAATGGAGGCAAGGGCAGGGGGCGGGAGGGAAGGAGGGACGGAAGGGGGAGGCCCAGGCCATCTGGGCCGTTTTGGAACGCCCTGGGGCCTCCCGCTCCCGCTCTGTGGCCCAGCTTGGGCCTGTCCTGGGGCTCCCTTGGGCCGTCTGAGGCTCATCCCGGGCAATTTTCGGGCTCACTGGGGCCGTCTTGGGTTTTTTGTTGGGTGCCTGTTCGGCGGTCTCGGGGCGGTCTTGGGGGCGTCTGCGGCCGTCTTCGAGCATTGGAAGCTCGAGAACGTGCGAAACCGGGAAACCTTGAAGAAAACTACCGAAGTTCAAGGATATGGGCCACTTCGGGCTCTCTCGGGACCCCTCTCGGAGCTCTCTTGGGGCCTCTTGGAGGGCTCTTGGGCTGTGTATTGGCGGTGTCGGATCTGGGGCCACGTTGGGCCCATCAGGGCCGTCTTGGAGCGCCTTGGGGTCTCCCCCTCCCGATCTGTGGCCCAGCTTGGGCCTGTCCTGGGGCTCTCTTGGGCAGTCTTGGGCTGCTCTTGGGCAGTCTTCAGGCTTCCCTGGGCCGTCTTGGGGCTCTTTTTGGGGCCTCTTCGGCGGTCTTGAGTCGATCTTCGGTGGGTCTTCGGCCGCCTTCGAGCGTTGGAAACTGGAGAACGCGAGAAAGCGGGAACATGTGAAACAACTACTGGAAATCAGCGACCTTGGCCTCTTCGGGCTCTTTCGGGACGCCTCTCGGAGCTCTCTTGGGGCCTCTTTGAAGGCTCTTGGGCTGTGTATTGGCCGTGTTGGGCCCATCTGGGGCCACGTTGGGGCCATCAGGGCCGTCTTGGAGCGTCTTGGGGCCTCCCCCTCCCGCTCTGGGGCCCAGCTTGGGCCTGGCCTGGGGTTCTCTTGGGCCGTCCGGGGCTCCTCCTGGGTAATTTTCGGGCTCCCATGGGGCCGTCTTGGGGCTCTTTTGGGTGCCACTTCGGCGGTCTTGGGGCGGTCATGGGGGCGTCGTCGGCCGTCGTGGAGCCTCGGGAAGTCGAAAAGCGAGAAACCGAAAACCACTGAAAAAAAACAAATTGAAATCAAGGATTGGGGCCTCTTCGGGATCTCTCGGGACGCCTCTCGGAGCTCTCTTGAGGCCTCTTGGAGGCCTCTTAGGCTGTGTATATGCGGTCTCGAGCCCATCTTGGGCCACGCTGGGGCTATCTGCGCTGTCTGGGAGGGGCTTGTCGAAGTCCCCGAGGGGCCGCAGTCTGGGAGCTCCAGGGCCGCTCCGGGGGGCTCTGGGAGCGGTCTGGGAAACCCCGGTCCTCCGATGCGTATGCCCCCCCGTGGCCCGGGCCCCGGGCGCCCGGGCCTCGTGCACGCCAGGGACCCCGGACGCACCCTGGACGGACCCCCCCCCCCACAAACGAGTTTCGGCCTTCTCCGAGATTTTCGGGCGGTCCCATGGGTGCCCCAGACGGCCCGAGATACTCCCAAGAGGGGTCCACGAGCGCTCCAAGACAGCCCAAGAGCGCTCCAAGAGACCCCAAGACCGTCCAAGGGGGCCCCGAGACGCCTCAAGAGGCCTCCAAGAGGCTTCCCAAGAGGGCCCTTAGAGGGAAATGTCATCATTGATTTTTGTATGGTTTTCAAAAGTTTGTCTGGTTCTCGCTTTTTCGGGCCAACATCAGCCCGAACCGGCCCAAGAGGCTCCAAAGATCGCCCCAAGATAGCCCAAGAGGCCCCCCAAAGAGCCCGAAAACGATCCAAGAGAGTCCCAAGACAGCCCAAGAGGGCTCAAAGACGGGCCCAAGAGAGCCCCAAGAGCGCCCAAAGAGGCACCCAAGACGCCGCCAGGAGAGCCCCACGACGGCCAAAGGCCTCCAAGACGCCCCAAGACGGCCCAAAAAGGCCCCGAGACGACCCAAGAGAACCCCAGCAGGGCCCTGAAAGGGATCCAAAAGGGCCCCAAGAAGACTCCCAAGAGGCCCCACAACGCTACATAACACCAGGGCTCCCAACACTGAGCTTCAATGGTACCCCCAGAAGCCTTCCAATAGTTCTTTTCCTCCATCCTTCTTCTCACCGTCTCCCTCCTTCTCTTTCCCGTTATCCTCCTGTTCCTCCTCCTTCTCTGTATACTCTCTGGTCCTTCTCCTCTCAGCCTCCTCCT